TGAAGGAGGAACTCCGTCATGCCGCGTTCTCGCCGTTGCCCCGCATGGGCTGCGCGTTCGTCGCGCTGCCTCATATCTGCGAGGATGGCCCAGACAGCATCGCCATTGTCATCTGCCAGGGCCGTTCGCACTGCTTGCGCCCAGACTCCGTCGGTACTGGGTCCCCCACCAAAGGCCATGTTGAAAGACTTGATGCGCCTCGCAGAACCCTCGCAAGTCCTGCAATTCCCGCTTTGAACAATGGAGAACATCCTGGAATAACTCTGTAGGGCAACCAAACAAACCGTGCCCGCCCCCTCGCGTTTCTCGAGAATCGACACCGCGAGAACTGGGGCAGAGGCGGGGGCCTCTCCGCCTGCGCGCTGCGCCAGAAAGCTTCGACATCACCGCGAGGGCCTCCGAGCTCAGATTGCTGCGGCGCATGTAGTGGAAGCCGTCGATGGCGACGGTGGCGCTCTTGAGCCCCTGCGATATTTGCCCGAAGGAGTTCCCCTGGTTGGGCCTCGGGAGTTCTGCGGTCGGGAAGGGGCGGCGTGCTGATGCGAGGAACTGGTTCGCCGGTGGCCCGCCGCGCTGCCGAACCCGCCTCCGGCTGAGCTTGAAACCTGGCATCGGTAGCGCGCGCGTCCTCTACTGCCGCGTTCCAGCTAATGTCCCCCTTGAAATCTTATAGGTGTGGGCGTGCGCTCGGCGAGCTCCGCCCTCCATGGCCTCTGCCTAAACTGTGATTTGCTGCGTCTTCTCAACCTGGAAAGCGCAAGACCCCATGGTTCGGGAAAAAGAAGGCCAAGGGCTCCAGCTCGGCATCCATGGCGCCCCAGGGCGAGTGGCGCTGTCGCAGAAATCCCCTGCCCAATACCACAACATCGGTTCCACTAGTTCCACTAAGTGCTCCCCTTCGGGACAGACGTTGCGGCGCGGTGAATGAGTCCCCCATGCAGCGTCGCTCGGCAAGCGCTGCAAGTATTGTGGCTCGCGCGGCAAAGCGCCTTGCTTCGGCGGGCCCCTGGGCCCCCGCAGTCTCCTCCGGGCCCGACCGACAGCCCTCGAGATAAAACGGCGCGGGCTCGCGCGGGCGATGTGAAGCTTAGTGAAAAAAACTCCCTGGAGGTGGCGTGGCGTTCATCCTTGAAGTTGCCCGTCTCCTGTCTGCCAGGCCAAGCCCCTGCCGTTCGGCCCGCGCGTGGCTGCCCCCCTCGGCGCAGACCTGATCCTGGAGCGCTTGAAACTCAGCACGGCGCCCAGGAGGCACCGGATCGCGCGGGCCAGCCTCGGCGCGGACCTCTTCCGAGGGACCTGTGAGAGCCTCCGGTCCGAAAGATCTCGTCGCCGGGAGGGGGCGGGGAGTGGGCCCGCGGGCCCTTCGGCAGGAAACTCTGGGCACTTGCCTTATCAGAAGAAACTTTCGCTCCTGAGAGTCCTCGCAGAGGCGCGCGCGGACTGGCCGATGCCCCTGGACATCGGCGCCAAGACCCAAGCCTGCACCGTGCAACTCTGCGCGTGAGCACACGGCTGCAAACGGAGAAACCCATCGTTGGGCCGCTGTCGCCCTTGGCGAGGGTGAGCGCGTCAGGTCGCGCGGTCTGCCCTTCAAGACGCCCGGGGGTCCGCGCCCCTGCACGGCGCGCCCGTCTCCACGGCGTGCTTTCCCACGGCCGGACTCCGCCCGAGTCGCGGCAAGTGACGGGGCACCGAAGGAGCGCACTCCGGGCGCTGAGAGGCGGGCGCGGCAACCCGCCAGGGCGCGGCACCCGGGCGAGACAAGAAGCCGTCCGGCGCGCCACCTGGGGAAGCTACCTGGCAACGGACATCTTTGCAGTCGACTTCAATGGAAGAAAACACAAGGGTATGCCAAACCAGCCATGAGGCACCCTTTGGTGTAGACCCCCAGAACCCAGAATGGAAAGAACACAAAACGAGTACACCAGAAAAAACAAGGGGAACAAAAAAACGAACCATCCCTCAGACTCTTCAGCCTGTCTGCCCTCTCGTAGCGGCGCCGGCGCCGACCCTCAATCGTGCCTTTTTCATTGCTTCCTCGCCTCCCCCAGACACATCAGTACCCGCCGACGTCGAGGACAAACAAGTGCTGTCTTGGGCGAAATACATTACTGTACTGGTCCAGGCTCCCCTCGCACTCGTCCTCATCCCTCCCCTGCTTCTCCAGCTCCTGAGCCCCCTCCATGTCCGCCCTTCATCCTCCCTTCACACTGCTCCCCCTCCTTCTGTTCCGCCTCCTGCTCCTCCTCGTCCTCCTCCTCCTTGACCTCCTCCTCGTCCTCCACGTCCTCCTCCTCCTCCCTCTCAAGCTCCTGAGTTTCAATTTGGCGCGTTTCAGGCGCCATCAACACCCTAAACTCGCCAACTGCCTTGGCGTAGACTCCACCAACCCGTCACGTTCTGGTCCGCCTGATCCCACTCCCTCTCGTCTTCCTCCTGCTCCTCGTACTCCTCATCCTGCTTCTGATTATCCTCCTGCTCCTGCTCCTCCTCTCCGTCCTCCTCAGGCCATGGCGGCCCCAAGCCCCTGGGAACGTCATGCTCCGAAGGCGGAGCGATACACCTTGTGATAGGAGACTTGTTTGTCAATCTCGCCCCTCTAAAGGCCCATCATTACACCCGTGTTGAAGGTTCAATCAGCCTTTGCCAAGCAGGTCTGGCTAGAACATTACTGGTGCGTGCAAGGTGCTCGCGGAGGCGGGCTAATACGAACCACGTTTTGACCAGTGGCGAGCCACAAGAGGATCACGGCGGAACATCGTGCTCAGAGCGTCTCATAGCTGCCACCGCGAACGCTTTCGACCAGACGTAAACCCCGATTTAGGGGTAGGCGCTGGCCACGGTGAATCTCGACCCGGGCAATCAAGTTCTGCAATCGTGCTAAACAGCCACGGACCGATATGCGCGTCTGGATGAGGAAACGCATCACCTTCTTGACGCTGCTGTCCTGGGAAGGCAAGGAAACAGTTCGATATTAGACCGGGCCAACATAGGCATGATGGGGATATATCACTCGGGAGGGAAGGACGGGCGGTGGGAGGGCGGGGGAGAGGGGATAGAAGACAGTAGGGATAGAAAGAAGGGGCAACAGGGCTCGAGGGAGGAGTGGAATGCCCCATGCCTTATGCCGCCTCATGACGGCCCACACATGCGCCAAGATCAGCCCGACACGATTTCATGGTTGGACAAGAAGTAAGCATCGCTATTTGGTAGGCCTAAGGCGCCCCGAGGCGGTTCGCAGACTCCCAACAGGTCAACAACAGGCTTCTGAATCACCGTCGAGGTGACCCTCCAGTGGCCTTCCCAGATGCATCCAAACGTTCTCTGTTGGAGGAGGGAGCGGACGGCCCACGAGACATCACAGCGACAGTGCAGCACGAGGCGGCAGTCGTGAGACCGCTGAAGAATCCTCAACACATGCAATCGGAGATGCATGAGACAAGAACGACAAGCAACAGCACACTCCAATGTACCGACCTGCTTGGGGCGAGAAGCAGCAACACTTGTCTATCCAACGTGTGCGTTGGCTTGGCCACCCCTCATCGTGCAGACTGCAATGAAGGATGCCAAACGACGGCCGCATGGGCTAGCCCACACTCTCCAGGCGGTCCTAGAAGCCCCGCCCCGCGTCTGGGCTCCCCGATCTGGGCCAAGTGTTACCCAAAATGGCCCCAGGCGGCCTAAGACCGCATCAAGACTGACCCAACACAGCCCAAGACGGCCAAAATATGAGTCAGAGGCGCACATGACGATTCAAAGATGGTCTCGGGGAAAGCTGTTCGGGCTCGCGGGTCAACCACAAAGGCCGACAGTCGAAAGCGACAGTGCCCGAAGTCCTACATCATGCGGCAAACGGGAGGGGGGTATCAACAGCCGTGCCAATCCCAACAATATCTCAACGTGCCTTTCAGCCCGCTGCTGCTCCCCCTCCTAGGTCTCCTCCCGTCCAAAGCGAATTAACAACTATTATACCGTGCTTTCCAATGTAGCACCCCTTGTTACAAAAAATGGGAGCGCCGCGAAAAGATACGGCAGGTTCGTGTCGTTCCGACTTCGGCATTGGCTTCTGACACCGCGGGAATCGTTTGACCTGGAACGATCGGCCGTTTCCGAAACGTCAGACCGTTCAACATCGACCGATTCGGAATATTCGGATTCGCCAACGGCGCTCAGCGTGGAACGCCGGCGCCGGGGTCGCCGTCGGTCGGCACGAGGCGAAACTACCATACGGGGGAGGCTCCGTCAGCTCGTTGCGCGAGAGGCTCAGGCTGGAGCAGGAGAAACCCCTGCCCTCGCTCCAGCTGGTGAGCTCCCGGTGCACTGCGTGGGCGGGGGGGGGATGGCCAGAGGTCGCGGCGTGGGGCCATGAGCACGAACAGGGCGAAGAGAGACGTGGACGTTGTCACCGACGCACGCGTGCAGATCTCATCGGCGATGCGCGCTGCTAGGCCCCCCTGTCGGGGATGGCGTGCAGATGAGCTCGGAGGGGCGAGGAAACAGCGGAAGAGAAACAACCACGATGTGGCACCGCTGCATCTTTAGACTCATCACCACGTCAGAGCCCCTCCGCCTCCTCCTCCTCCTCCTCCTCCTCCTCCTCCATCTCCTCCCCCGCGAAAGTGCGCCATTGGACACCCAGATGCTTACGCCACCGTCCACCGTCAGATGAGATCCCGTCGAGCTCAGAGGGGATTCCCTCGAGCTCAGAGAGGGACTGAATGGGTGAAAGAGGAAAGTGCATGCTCAGCTGAGCCGAGGCTCGACGAACAGGTCGAAGTCGCCAGCGCTGTCGGCGCAGTGGAACCCCCTCCTCCCCTTCTTCCTCCTCCTCCTCCTCCTCCTCCTCCTACTCCTCCTCCTCGCGCTCGCGCTGACGCTCGCGCCTCCAAAGCGTCTTTCAGGACTCTCGGATGGGCCGCGCAGCGGGGGCGCGCGCGCACTTGCGTGGAGCCTCCACCTCCTTCTCCTCCTCCTCCTCCTCCTCCTCCTCCTCCTCCCACCTCCTCCTCCTCCTCCTCCTCCTCCTCCTCCTCCTCCTCCTCCTCCTACTCCTCCTCCTCCTCCTCCTCCTCCTCCTCCTCCTCCTCATCCTTTTTCTCCCCCTGAAACATGAGGCCAACGCCGCCCGACTTGGCGACGGCGCGCGCCGGTTCTGTAGACGGAAACGGGGCCCATCGACAATCCGTGCGTCTTCGGTTATGTTGTTGTGCTTCCCCGGAGGCAGAGGCAGAGGCGGGGTTGGGGAACATCGTTATGAGCGCCCCCGCATCCTCTTGCTATTCATTATCCTCCTCATCTTCCTGCTATTCCTCCTCCTCCTCCTAAAATTCCTCCTCCTTCTAGTCCTCATCTCCTCCTCCTCCTCCTCATCATCATCTCCTCCTCCTCCTCCTCCTCCTCCTCGTCTTCTTCCTCCTCCTCCTCCGCTTCTTCATCCTCTTCCGCTTCCTCCTCCTCCTCCTGCTCCTGCTCCTCCTCCTCCTCCCCCTGCTCCTCCTCCTCCTCCTGCACCCCCACCCTGGGATGACCCCCCCCCCTACGGTTCGACCGGATCATGAGAATGCGCGGTGAGGATGCAAGGCCCTCGGACGCCCAAGCTGAAGCCGAAGGTGGAGGCCCATGGCCCAAGGCGACGGGTTAGGATGGGCAGACGGGCAAGGATGCAGGGGTGTCATTGGGAAGTTGCTACTGATCCTTACGATGCGGTTTGACTCCACGAGCCCCCGACAGATCCTTCCCACTGCGGACGGACGCCGACGTTCTGTTTCCCACGCAGCAGCGGCGCTCTGCCCGGGCTCCCGGCCGTGCGGAAACACCGCCCCGCCTCGCGCCACAAGCAAAAGCTCGCGCCCCGCAATGTCTGGAGTCAGGGCCACGTAGTCGGGGACATTGATAGACCACACAGGAGGTCGCACACATCACCCCAGGGCGGAGGATGACCATTTCCAGGGATTGTGGCGGTGTGCGGCTGCGATGCCCATGCCCAGGGTGGCTGTGCCGATGCCCAGGGATGCGTTTGTTCGGGGAAGAGACAGCGGTATACACATGAAGTTTCGGAGCTCCGCACGACTGTCTTGGATCGGCGATGGACCCCCGTGGCAGCGCCTGCGGCGCCACCCCTGGCGCGCCCCGCGCGCCACAAAGGGCAGTTCCAGCGCGGATCTGGGACATTCGCGCTGAGCTACGAACTCGTTTGTTTATGCCGATTGTTCTTCTTCGAATAAGCGGGGACGGACGTTGGCGCACCCAAGAGAACTACAGCCGTGGGTGCGCTCTCCAGTCTCAGTCCAATCCCGCGGGATCTGACAAAATCCTGGCCTGCAGTGCCTTGGCTGACGGATCTCTGATGGATGGCCTCGGTGGGCCGGAGATTTGCTCTGCCCCGGGAAAACCTGGGGCCCTGTCGCTCCTGTGGCCCGGGCCGGGCCACATGGGCGAGTAGCACAGGGGGGCTCGCGGCCGAATCCGCTTGCATGGCTGATTCTCCCGGCGCTGGAAGCGCCACTGCGTCGAGGCAAGCGCCTGGCGGCGGGGCCGAAACCAGCGGCGTGCAGCAGACTCCGCCCCCCCCCCCCCCCCCAGTACCCCCTCCCCCTCCCCCCTCTGTCGTCCGACTGTGGCCCCGTGGCGTCAGCTACCCTGAAATGTGCCAAGCGGCAAAGGAGGCGGCCAGGACTGGCCACTGCCCCGAGCTGGCTTGTAGGCTCGATGCCCAGGACCACTTCGGGGTCACGCAGGGCTCAGTACGACCTGATGTCAACGGACAGCTGCTCGGCGATGCCGATGTTCTGCACCGCCTCCTTGAACTCTTCGAAAGAGAGTTTCCCGTCGCCGTCCCTGTCGGCCATCACCAGCTGACGGTCGACGAGCTGTTGCAGCTGCACGTCACCCAGGTTGTCACCCACCATCATTTTCATCACCTGGAACAGGTCGCCGTTGGATATGAACCCGTCCTTGTTCACGTCGTAGATGGCAAAAGCAAACTCGAGCTTCTCCTCCTCGGACGCGCCGGCGGTGAATTTCGCCAAGCCGAGCACGAACTCCAGAAAAGATACGTTTCCGCTGTCGTCCTTGTCGAAGACGGAGATTACTCTTCGCACCAAGGGGTTCTCGGTGAGCTCGGTCACGCCAAGGATCTCGGTGGGGTCGAGCTGCCCGTTCCCGTCGGCGTCCAGCGAGCGGAAGCGACTGTAGAGCCTCGCGATGTCCTGCTTCGAGAAGTTCGCCAGGCTGTGCACGTCTGCTCTCGAGAGGCTCTCCGACTGGCCCATGGCGGCGCCGCAGGGGGGGGCCTCGCGCCGCGCCGCGACCCCCGCGAAGCCAGCCGAGCCCGGCCGCGAGCCCTGGAGCCGCAGTGTGGCCACGGCAGCGGACGGGCGCCGCCTTCGGGGCGCTCGGCGCCGGAGGGCGACGGGCCCGCGCCTGGGCCGCCCTGTGGGGTTCACTCCCATGGGGTAGCCCCGCGCCGCCAGCAACGCCGTTGGGGCGTGTCTCTTTAGGGCTGCGCCAAACGAAATGAAGGGCCCCTCGCGGACCCTGGAGCTCGACGGCCGCAGCTTCGCTGGGGGCGCCCCGGGGAGCTCTGCCGATGGGGGGCTGCGGGAAGCGGGCTTGCGAGGGAAGAGCGAGGGGGGGGGGGGAGGGAGGGCGTGGAGGTGGAGGGGGAGGAGGAGGAGGAACGAGATGATGTGGACGGGGGGGGGGGAACAGGAGGAGGATAACGAGGAGGAGAAGGAGGAGGAGGAGGAGGAGGAGGAGGAAGGAACGTCCCATTCGGAACGTCCATTCGCTCGTAGCGCCGCTGCGGCCCCGCGCCGCAGACGAGGCAAGGGGGAAGCCTCAGCGCGCGACCTCCTCCTCCTCCTCCTCCTCCTCCTCCTGCTCCTCCTCCCTGAGCCTGCAGTCCGACCGTCTAGTAAGGATGCGCAATAAGGATGCAAGGGCCTTGAAAGGCCAGAGGCCTCCTAGAGGGGTCGGAGTAGATGTGGTCGGACGATCGCGCCGCCTCGCCGATGCATCGGCGATGCATCGGCGACGTCGGCGATGCATCGGCGACGTAGGCGTGGGGAGACACGGTCTCCACATCGAGCGGCATCGTCGATGCATCGGCGATGCGGCGCGATCGTCTGACCCCATCTACTCGGACCCCATCTAGGCGGTCTAGAAAAGGCGACGTTTTTCGAGTGGGGCTTAAGTGGCCAGGGATGGAAGGAATGCCAGGGCAATCTTGTAGAACTCGCTCATCCTTGCTGTGCGGGCTGGCTGTATCCACATAAACGCTACCGCTTGGTCTTCGGGCCAAACCTCGGCCGTTCGGGAGGGTCCGGGCAGCCACAGAGCGCCCTCAGCTGCAGGAAAGCACCCCGAGGCTGGAAGACCGACGAGAACCGACGAACGCGTCAGAACACGTCCCGGCCCCAGGGCCCAGCCCCCCCCTCCCTCGTGCAGCACAGCCAGGGGGCCTCCATCTGCCGAGAACCCACGGTAACGTCAGACTGCCTCGACCTTTGGCCCCACAAGCCCCCCCCCGTCCCGCCGCTCCCTTCATCGGGCGTGCCCGCACGCCGGGTCCCCCGCCACGTCCGTGCATGAGTCGCTTTTTGCCGTGCATGTCGTTTTCGCCTTCATTGTCTTCTTACAGAGTTTCTTCTTCTTGTTCGTAATACAAGAATATCTACTATGAGATTTAGAAGTATTATTAGTGGCAATAGTAGTCATACTAATAGTGGTGGAAATTATGTTATTAATAAAAAATAGTAGTAGTCAGAGTAGTAGTAGTAGTAGTAGAAGAAGAAGTAGTAGTAGTAGTAGTAGTAGTAGTGGTGGTAGTAGTAGTAGTAGTAGTAGTCGTAGTAGTGGTACTCGTCGTCGTCGGAGTCGTCGTAGTCGTCGTGATAGTATTATTAGTAGTAGTAGTAGTAGTAGTAGTAGTAGTAGTAGTAGTAGTAGTAGTAGTACCAGTAGTAGTAGTAGTAGTAGTAGTAGTAGTAGTAGTAGTCGTAGTAGTAGTCGTAGTAGTACCAGTAGTAGCACTAGTAGTGGTAGTAGTAGTAGTAGTAGTAGTAGTAGTAGCAGTAGTAGTAGTAGTAGTAGTAGTAGTAGTAGTAGTAGTAGTAGTAGTAGTAGTAGTAGTAGTAGTAGTAGTAGTAGTAGTAGTAGTAGTAGTAGTAGTAGTAGTTGTGGTCGTAGTAGTGGTAGTAGTAGTAGTAGTAGTAGTAGTAGTAGTAGTAGTCGTAGTAGTAGTAGTAGTAGTAGTAGTAGTAGTAGTAGTAGTAGTAGTAGTAGTAGTAGTAGTAGCGGTAGTAGTAGTAGTAGTCGTGGTAGTAGTAGTAGTAGTAGTAGTCGTAGTAGTAGTAGTAGTCGTCGTAGTAGTAGTAGTGGTAGTAGTAGTAGTAGTAGTAGTAGGAGAAATAATACAAGTAGCAGTAGTACTAGTAGAAGCAGTAGTAGCACTAGTAGTAGTCGTAGTCGTAGCCGTAGACGTAGTCGAATTCGTAGTCGTAGTAGTAGTAGTCGTAGTAGTAGTAATAGTAGTAGTCGTCGTAGTAGTAGTAGTAGTAGTCGTCGTCGTCGTAGTAGTAGTAGTAGTAGTAGTAGTGGTAGTGATAGTATAGTAGTAGAGTAGTAGTAGTCGTAGTAGTAGTAGTAATAGTAGTAGTAGTGTAGTAGTAGTAGTCGTAGTGGAAGTAGTGGTAGTAGTGGTAGTGGTAGTAGTAGTAGTAGTAGTAGTAGTAGTAGTAGGAGTCGTAGTAGTAGTAGTAGTAGTAGTAGTGGTAGTAATAGTAAGTTAGTAATAGTAGTAGTAGTAGTAGTAGTAGTAGTAGTAGTAGTAGTAGTAGTAGTAGTAGTAGTAGTAGTAGTAGTAGTAGTAGTAGTAGTTAGTAGTAGTAGTAAGTAGTAGTGGTGGTGTAGTAGTAGTGTAGTAGTAGTAGTAGTAGTCGTAATGTAGTAGTTAGTGTGTAGTAGTAGTAGTGTAGTAGTAGTCAGTATAGTCAGTCTAGTGTAGTAGAAATAGTCGTAGTGTAATAGTAGTAGTATAGTAGTAGTAGTAGTAGTAGTAGTAGTCGTAGTTAGTCGTAGTTAGTTAGTCGTAGTCGTAGTAGTCGTAGTCGTAGTCGTAGTAGTAGTAGTAGTAGTAGTAGTAGTAGTAGTAGGTAGTAGTAGTAGTAGTAGTAGTAGTAGTAGTAGTAGTAGTAGTAGTAGTAGTAGTAGTAGTAGTAGTAGTAGTAGTCGTAGTCGTAGTCCGTAGTCGTAGTAGTAGTAGTCGTAGTAGTAGTAGTAGTAGTAGTAGTAGTAGTAGTAGTAAGTTCGTAGTAGTAGTAGTGTAGTTTAGTAGTAGTAGTGGTGTAGGTAGTAGTAGTAAAGTAGTAGTAGTAGGTGGTGGTGGTAGTAGTAGTCAGTAGAGTAGTAGTAGTAGTAGTAGTAGTAGTATAGTAGTAGTTGTAGTCAAAGTAGTAGTCAGTTAGTCGTAGTAGGTAGTATTAAGTAAGTAGTAGTTAGAGGTATAGTAGATAGTAGTAGTAGTAGTAGTAGTTTAGTAGTAGTAGTAGTAGTAGTGGTAATAGTTTAGTAGAGTAGTAGTAGTCGTTAGTAGTAGTAGTAGTAGTAGTGGTAGTAGTTAGTAGTAGTAGTAGTAGTACTAGTAGTAGTAGTAGTAGTAGTAGTAGTAGTAGTAGCAGCAGCAGTAGTAGTAGTAGTAGTAGTAGTAGTAGTAGTAGTAGTAGTAATAGTGGTAGTACTAATAGTAGTAGTAGCAGTAGCAGTAGCAGTAGTAGTAGTAGTAGTAGTAGTGGCAGTAGCAGTAGCAGTAGTAGTAGTAATAGTAATAGTAGTAGTAGTCGAAGTAGTAGTAGTAGTAGTAGTAGTAGTAGTAGTAGTAGTAGTAGTAGTAGCAGCAGTAGTAGTAGTAGTATGGGCAAAAATAATATGACCCTTCTTCTTCTTCTTCTTATAAGTATTGTTTTTGTTGGGTCTACGACGGCAAACGACCCCAGAAGCCGCTGCCATATCCCGGGCGAAACGCCGCGGTGCGATGGCTGTTCACAACATCAGGGTTAAAATCACGACCGACCGTCGTGGACGAGTGGGCGTCGGCTCACGGGGGGCGACCAACGGAAGGGGGAACTGGAAAAGTGAATGTCTCGGGCCCCGAGGGCGATTTTTGGGGTTCCCGATAATTTTTTTCAGACGCCCTACAGGGCCCCAGAGGGCCACTTTTCTGCACCCCTCGCTGCCCCCCCCAATGTATCGCCGTCCCATTGCGGGACGCCCAGCTCCCCAAATGTAGTTTTCCGTCCGGATCGGTATTCGATGGAAAAATGGACCAAGCTAACCTGGGGCAAAACAAATAGTGCTTCATATTATCACGTTCGTTCTCACAACCTAGAATACATCCAAGCTCTCCACTTGGGTGAATTATCCTGTGACTCGTCTGCCAACCAGCAGACGCCGTTCGGAACCGCGACCAAGCCCACGAAGGCAGGGCCCTGTGCAAAGTCTGGATGGCATACTAAAAGCCGCACCCCAGAATCTCCAAGGAGCGGTCATGGAAAAACTTCAGAAATCTCCGGCAGGGCAATCCGACCAGAGATCTAGACTCAAAGCACGAGGCACACGCTATCGCCGCACAGCGCTGCTGCTTGAAAAAAGCATGAACGGCACAGGACACAAGCGGCAGGCGCGAGCAGCAACCGAGGCAAGCTCAGACAAGAGTGGATCAGGCCGCTTTCGTTCAGGCGGGGCGCCAGGGACGGCGTCGGCCAAATGTCCTGCATGCGACTTCGAGCGCCAATGCCCTGGAGAAACTTTCCCAGCAGGTAGCGTTGGAAGCCGTGGTTCGTCAGCACGAAGAGCAGAATCATTCTGACCACAAAGCCATCTGTGAATTCGAGCATGCCCAGGAAAGGTGCGAATAGCAGAACGAGCCAACGTCGCCGCACTGACAATTCCTGATGACGCAGCCAATCAGCTTCCATGGGCGTTCCAAGAGGGCTTCTGAAGACCTGCGAGAGGGCGCCGAGTTCGATCTGCTTCGCACGCGCTGCGGGCGGGAGAAACTGCATCACGCAACTCAAGACCGATGCACATCAGGTCGAGCAAAGCGCGCTGGACACAGAAGTAGGGGTATCACCCTTGCCAATAGCTCGACACACATGACGATACTTCTGGACATGGGGATCCCAAGAGTTATATGCAGAGGCAGACGGCACAGCCAATATCCCCAGGTCAAACATGTTCCCCTCAATTGCGAAGCAGGACAACGAAGGCATAAACGCGCTGAGGAACTTCTGCGCTTCATTCTTGAGGGGCTCCGGAAACTTGCCCGAGACAGGAATGATCGCGCACTTGCTAGGCTTCGCAACCAAGTGGGCCGTTTTCTCAACCGCACTGATCACTCGGAAAAGCTGGAAGAGGGCCTTCCACTCCTTCAAGGACCCACCAAGATCATCAGCACATGCTCGCTTAATACTCAGCTTCTTAGACTCAAGGCGCCGGTGCAGGCCCCGCAGAGCGGGAGACAAAGCAGCAGCAAAAATAAAGCCAGACAGCACATCCCCGCGCATGATGTCGGATCGGATCCAGAACGCACGAATCCATCGCCCCTGTGCAGATATCAACCCCTCGACCGGGTCGCGCGCGATGCCCGCGCGTTGCGGGGGCGCTGTCGGGCAACCTATCTTCCTCAGGACGAGCATAACGAACTCCTGCGAGTGCGCAGGGAACGCGTGCACATAGTCAAGGACATACATAATCAGGCACTCATTACCCGCTTCAGGTCTTGCCGACGGTCTTACCGAGTGTGTTCGCGCAAGCGCGTCCACCTCCGCGATATTCACGCAGAAATTCTCCCCCCTCTTTAATCCCCGCTGGTCGCCGGGGACAAACCCGACATTGGCGACCGCCGTCAGAAATTAAATTCTGGCGTTCCGAATGCCCAAAATACAAACAGCAGCGGCTTCGCGATCACGCTCGCCAGCAGCAGAGTCCGCGGACGAGCCCCCATCGGGCAAGAACGCCTGCAACGCGACATGCACGGACATAAATTCGCCGGCCCAACGGGCCAGAACGGGGATCTTCTGACCCGGGTCAATCCAGACCCGGGTCAGCAGGAAAACAAAAACTGCAATGCAGGAAAAAAACTGCAACGCAGGTCTTCGCAGACCCGGGTCAGCCAATATGCGCGGCCGCCTCGCGGCCACGAGCGGCTCCCAAACCCGGGTCAGCCAGAGGGGGTCTTCGCAGGGTGCTGCAGGATCTGGCGCCCTGGCTGACACCCGTCTGCGTTGACCCCCGTCTCAAGCTCCTGACCAGATGCGCGTTGAGATCTCCGGAAACTACTTAACCACATTTCTAGTTCGCGCGCGCGGGGCGGCCCCTGGGGGGCCCCGGGCGACAAGTGCCCCGGCCGATCCCCGGCTGATCTTAACGGGCGAAGAACGGTATAACAACAACTTTTTCGCTGTCGGGGGCGACTGCCCCTGGGCGGCTGGAAAGTTTACACCCTCACGGCGGCGCCGTAGGGGTATGAACTTTCCAGCCGCCCAGGGACACGCGCACCCGACAGCGAAAAAGTTGATTTTATTTAGTTTTTCGCTCGCTGATGATCCCCGGGCGATCCCCGGGAGGGAAGCGATTTCCCGCCACCACTCGCGAGGATCGTGGCCTCCGAGGGGGGGGGCTGCCAACGACCGCACCCCCCCCCCCCCCCCTCCCCCCTCCCCAAGGGGCCCCCGAAAGCCCTCCAAGAGGCACCAGGGGGGCCCAACGCACCGCCAAGGAGCCCCAAGACGCCCCCAATAAGCCCCCAAGAAGCCCCCAAGACGGCCCCAAGAGGCCCCAAATAGCGCTCCAGGGCCGGCGGAATGAGAGAAGCGATTAAATAAACTGTTGCCAGCGAGCATCCAGAAAAGAACATCGCGCAAAAGCAGTGGCCCAGATGGACGTGCCAGCCAGGCCGAGAAGCGCGGCTGGTCGCACCCAGGAGCAGAGTCACCTACCCGAAGAGCAGCTCGTCATAGCATAGCCAGGGTCGGGGGCAGGGCGTCGTCGAACGAGACCGGAGTTGAGAAGCGGTCGACAGATGTAGCAGCCGTAGCCGCAGCCCGTGGTTAGCAAGCAAAAACTGGAGCCCATTGCAAGGTCGAGGCTCGAGCGCGATCCGACTGCGAGACCTCCCTCTCTCCATCCACCCCCGCGGCCCTCAAGGTCGATCGACGCATAAATTGGGCCCATGAGCTCGCCCTGCGATCGATCGCTTGAAGCTGTTGGCGACGACGAATACGAGAGCCAATATCCTGACCCTGTTCAAGCCAAGCCTGAATAACAGCCCGATCGAGTTCGGCAGCTCGAGGGTGCACTTCGTTGGACCAGCGCTGGAACGAAGGCGGGTGCAACATGCGCTCTTGGTGACCACTCGCCTGAATGGAATCTGCCGCCATTTCGCGCGATGCAATCCAGAGCTCGGTACGCTGGCAAATTGGGCGCCAAAGGGCACGCGCCAGATAGCGAGCGAGCAAGAACAGGGCGCGGGGGGCCCTCGGGTGCTTGAAGGCAAGATGTGTACGAACAACTCTGCTAGCCTCCTGCATCAAATATTTGCGCCGTTCAAGCGCGCGGGGAAAGGGCATCTGCATCAAGTGGCCGTACGAACCGAGAACAGTCTTGAATATCAGGGGTCTGGCTATATATTTCGGGATCGGGCGATCTTCAGGTTCAGCAATCCTACGGGCGCAACATGGTCACGAATCTTGGCCTTCGAGAGCACCTCGGGGTAGCCGATCACCCGCGCCGCCGAGTAGGATTGTGCAACCATCCAGCCACCGGGCCACGCGCGCCAGAGACTGTCAATCGCTGCAACAGCATCCGCCTGCATGTCGAAGAAATTTGCGTGAATAAATCGAGCGTTCGAGGCGTCTCTGAGCTCGCGCCTGCAGCGGGCGCTCGTTCTTTGGGCCTGGGGCGGCGGTGGGAAACGCAATTGCTCCTCGCGCGCAAAATTTAAATCACCTGTGACAGCGGTTACACACTCCTCAGGATTAGCTTCCGGCTCGGCTCGGCCCCTGCCCATCCTACTGCGCGCGTCTTTGACTGGTTCCACAGAAAGATCATGATTATGTGCGTTCCAGTGAATCAGCATAGCCCTGGCACTCTGAATCACAACCCGCGAGACACGGCCAGGGATGGGGGCGGCGGCGGAGGAGGGCGCGCCGGGAGGGGGAGAGGCGGGGCATAACCATTCTCTCTCTGGGTGCCTGGGAGGACAGTCGCAACGCCCCCTCGCATGCGACCAGCGCGGTCGCCCCCACAGAAACTCGAAATAACAACTATCGCACCAGGAAGGACCCTGCGCAGGAAACACTCTAGCTGGGTATGATTATGTTGAACCTCTTGAAAAGCAGGGACGGAAGAGCCAAGGCGAAGCCTCAGAAGACACCCGAGCCTCTCAGCAGCATGAGCACCCTCATATTGTGGAAGAGCACGTGCGTTCCACGCGCAGAAGTGCATGCGTCCGCTGAAGCCCCTCTCGCACAGGAACTGGAACGAGGAGCGTTGCAAGAGGCGCGCGTAGTTGTCACAGGCACCACTCGGGCCCCGCGTCTGGCTCGAAAATCGCCCTGGTCCTCTCGACCAACTCTTGCTGCTGGAGTTTGCGAATCGTGGCCTGGTGCCACATGATATCTGCCATTTCGCGCCACTGCTTCGGGGCAATCTTGCACAAGGCGCCGCAGCCAACTGACAGCCATCCACGGTCTCTGCCGAAGAAACTTTTCTGTCCAGAATCCAAAGAGAACTTCCTGAATGGCGAGCTTCGCCTTGCGCCCGGGTTCTTGTCGCATGATGTGCAATCGTACCTCACCACCACCGGCGTGCGCTGGGACTTGGAAGACCTTCCACACACCACCTGCACCTCGAAGACTGCCAAGCGGCTTACCAGCCCGATGGGCCGAAAGTCCAGCTACACGTTTGAACCGTACGACAAACTGCTTCGAGGGGTCGGGAGCCGTTGCCTCGTACATCACAGCACTGACAGATATCTCCTCCATCCACTCCTCGACTTTCTGCTGAACCTGATTGAGAGCAACCAGATTGTCCAGCACTGATGCGAATGATGGCGCCGTCCGTCTCGCGATCAAACGTAGAAGAAGAGACCTGGATCGGTCCCGAGGATTGCTGGCTCGCTGCCACGAGGGCCGAGTGCAACTCTTTAGTCTGACTCGCCATCTCCGCCAACAGCGTGTCATGCGGTGCGAGCCTCCCCGCATGCTCAGACGCCCGTGGTGATCTGCTGGTCCAGCTTGCCAGTGAAGTTCTGGAGATCTTCGGAACGTTGCTTGAGGCATTGGAGGAATCTGCAATCGACTGGGGTTCACGGTTCACCGTCTCAGAGACTGTCGAGCCGACCACTTCCTGGAACTGCTTGTACATGCTGCCCAGCTCGTCGGCGAGGATACTAACACACACCGTCCTGATCTGCTCCTCCGATATGTCCATGTCAGAGTCCTCGTCCATGCGGAACATATCACTCCCTCACTCCCCCCCCAAGCGTGAGTAAGGCACCTGTACCAGCACCACGGCGAGCACGAGCACCAGTAGGCTTGTGGACCGATTTGACTACTGCGCGTCGCGGCGTCGAGGGAGCCGCATCCTTAGACATCACCTCGAGACAAAATGTGCGAGAGGTGAGTGGCCGAAAAGAACTGCCAGCAGGCGGGCCGTGGTTGACCCTCGTGAGCTGACAGGACCGTGACTCTGAAAACGTTCGAGCCGCCCCGTCGGCTCTGTCCAAGCTGGAAGCCCCAGGGCAAGGTTTCCAACTTGAGCCAAAATGGCTACGGAGGAGGAGGGGGAGGAGGAGGAGGAGGAGGAGGAGGAGGAGGAGGAGGAGGAGGAGGAAGAGGAAGAGGAGGAGGAGGACGTCGGGGGCCTGGGCCCGCCGATGTGGCCTCGTCACTGCGCGGCCCCAGAGGCCTCGATGCCTTCCCCAGGGCCTGGGGTTCGCCCTGGGTCCGCTCCTGACGGCCCCGGGGGGCCCGAAAACAGGGCCTCAGAGGCCGCAGCCGAGGTAAACGCCGTCGGAGATCTGGGGTTTAGGGCTGAGGGTTCAGGGTTTAGGGTTTAGGGTTCGGGCTCTGGCTCATGCTCAGGCTGGCAGGTCTTGGGCGCGGCCCTCCAGCGCGCCTGCGCGCACGGGCGGAGCGCTGGCGGCCGGGCGACTCGGGGAAACCACAAGTTCGGTACCGCTACTCCCTGGACCTCCCCCGGGGTGTTGTCTGACCAGGATTTCGAGGCGAATCCAGCGGTGACGACGAGGGCCACCCAGGAAGCCCCAAAACGGGAAAACGGGCGAAGGGATAGAGCTATGGGTACCTTTTCCTCCTCTGACGATTGCCGTGTCCTCCGCTCCGGGCTCCTCGCCCTCGGGGCCTCCATTTCTGAAGCAGGCCGCTGGTCGAGCACGAACGCCCGCGCTGAACCTCCCTCCTCCTCCGCAACCGGGGGGGGGGGGGGCTGTCCGCCTGTGCTGATCCAGCTGTCGATGTTGGCGTCGGTGATGCCCACGCCGTCCTGGCGTCCGCGAAGAAGGGACGGGGGAGGTTGACAGGATGAGCCTTTGTTGGTGTAAGGTTGTCTCCCCCCCGTGGGGGTCCATCGTCGGAATGTCCAGATCCGTGGTGGAGCCCTTGTCAGAAATCTCCACCGTACACGAAACGTCCCGATGAGAGGAAGGACAAAGGGATGAGGAGGAACGACCGAACACCTCTTGGGACACATGTTCACTTTGAGATCACATTCGGCGAATATTAAGAACTGACAGGATTACCTCGATCCTTGCTTGGTGGCCGCAAGCATCCACGATCTCCCGCCAACACACACATGGAACATCAAAAGGGACGCTGTTGCCAAAACCCCAACAGTCTTTCAAACCGCAGACGAAGCATGAGGAGGATTGAAGGGTGGATGTGAGGGATTAGGAAAAGGAGTATGAGCTATAATTGCGGGTGGTATGGGTGAAAGGTAGACGACATGGCGGCAATGCTAAGATAATAGCGGCGGTCCCTTTCGCTTATATACGTCATGTTATCGCGTGCGCGCTTGAGCCATGGTGGCGGCGGGCGCGCGCGCGGGTCCTATTCGAGTCGGGGCGACTGGGCAATGGAAGGTGTCCAACCGAATCGCTGTGGTCATGGAAAAACACGCGAAGGGATGCGGTGAGACAGTCGCTGCGTCGCGCAGCAGTCGCGTCTAGCAGGCGGGTGCCTCGCGCAAGTTGCCCATGACTCAGTAGCCTCAGCCCGCACGGTGGCGAGGTTCACCCTGGGGGGCAAGGCGTGCTCGTCAATGGGCAGCGCGTGCGTGTGATGAGCTGTCTGCGGCCAGGGTCGTTTGACCGCAAGGCCCCCTGCAGCATGGCGACCTCGATGACGAGCTCCTTGCTCTGGTTCCTGCCTGGCGTGTGGCAGCCAGGAGTAGGGCACTGCTCGCGGGTGCACGGCACAGGTCGTGTCTGGCGTGCGCTTACGCCGCGGCGCTGGTCGTGCCTTCCAGCCAAGTTCGCTCCCTGGCGTTGCATCCTGCACACTGCCGGCGTAGCTGCCCGCCTTCAGCTCTCTTTTGGTGAGTGAATGCCACCGGGCGTAGCTGGCCGTTGCGGCGCTTGCGCTGCTTCGCGGCTGGAGAACACCCGCGCGCCTTGCATCGTAGGCGGTTCGTCCAGCTGTTCGTGGCAGCGTGTCTTGCTGATGCTGACCAGTTACTGCTGTTGATTGCTCGTCGCGTTGGCCTTGTGAGTGCCCAGCGACGCCGGCGTGGCGCGTGCTGAATGGATCCAGCCAACAGCTGCACAGTGTCGCAGGTGCCCACCTCGGCTTTTCGAAATTGTCCCAATATTGCTTGTCTTCGAAGAGCATGGGCGTCGGCTGCCACCATCGCGCCCGACGCAGCGGCCGCGTGGCCGACGTGCCGTGCCGCCGTGATGCATGCCGACTGGTTTATAAGGAGGCCCAGACGGTGGCGCAGCACAGGCCTCTGCGGCGAAGCGCTGCCGTCCGCGCGGGCACTTCGCATGTCGAGCGGTGCTGAAATACCAACGCCAGGCTCTTGCCCGTCGCACCATTCGATTGCCCGACGAGGTGTGCCCGCCAGAACTTCGCGACGAAGACGCCCGTGTTGGTGTCAGTGTGGCGCCAGTCTACCGCGAAACGAGAAAGCCCTGGCAGTTGGCGGGGAGGCTTGAAGGCCACTGATGGCGAGGATCGGGTTCTCGATGGTGATCGGACGCGGTCTGCGGTGAGTGCGCGGCCAGGTCCCCAACGTGGCGCTCATCATAACGCAGTCGCCAAGTACCCTGTACACGGCGCATCGGTCTCAGTCATGCTCAAGCCCATCGGCGCGCGGCGATTGCTGTCAAGACGCACGTGCAATCGCGCTGTGCAGCGCGTCCTGGAGGAGATGCTGTGCCAGGTGGAGCAACGAGCATCTTCGATCGATCCGTTGTAGGCGCGGCGGGGTCCGTGCTGCTGGCAGCCGCGCGGTGGAGCCGGTTCGGCTTCTGCCCTTGCCCACGAGGTGGAGACGAGTGCAATCGCAGCAGCTTCGTCGTTCTGCGCGGCGTTGTCGGGCTAATGGCGGTAAGCCTGGTGGCTGATGTCACATGTTGAGCGACTCTGGAGGGGACCTCGCCGGCAGTGCCCCGGGACAAGGCGCGTCGACATGCTCGCGTGCAACCGTCCGTGCGAGGGCGCTGTCAGAGGTGGCGCAGCCAATGTATGTGTGCGCGTTGGCTCGGATTGGGCAACTCGGCGTCGCGCCGCGCTCGCCGCTCCCAACGGGCGGCTGCGCCGCCAGGCCTGCGTCGGCGAGTGAACATCCACTCCAAGGGCTGACGCGGAAGCGACGAGGGAGGAGTGAGTGTAGGGTAGTAGCCTCCAATGCTGGGCACTGTCGCGCATGGGACCTTTACTGCCGTGCCAAGCCCATCCTCGGCGGACTCGGAGATCTCCGACTCCGGCTTAACGATGATGTCCGCGCTGAGGCCCCTCTTGCACGAACGGTCCTCGTCGGCAGCAGTGCCGAGATGCATCGCCGCCTGCATGTGCGACGCGGGCGGCGTGATGTCCAAGGGGTGGCCCCTCCTGGCGAACTGCTGCACCGCGGAGCTGGCCTCCAGCTTCTTCAGATTCACGGACGTCCGCGTCTGCGAACCGCAACTTGAGCGTTGCGTGAAGCTGCAGCTCTGCGCCGCGGCCGCCCAGGTGTCCTCCAAGATCTTCGCCGCGTCCGCGATGTCCTCGAGCTCGGCGCCCTGGCCGGCAACGAACGCTCCGTGGCCCCCTGCCATCTGCATGCGATCGCTCTCGATGCTCTCCCAGACGGAGCATGCGTCGGTTGGGGGGGCATCGGTGGGCAGATGCATTAACGTCTCGAAATTCGGAATCGTGATCGCCTTAGCCTTGTGCGGGGCCACCAGGCCCCCCCCCAGGCCTCCTCCGCCGTGGCGGCGAGATCCGATGAGCCCCTGCTCGAGAGGCGGGACGTCTCTGAGCCCATCTTCTCGCGGCCTGTATGCGTGGCGTCGAGGAAGCGCACGTCGTCGCCAGAGCAGACCTGAATCGGGTTCCCAGAGGGCCTCTGGGAACCTGAGCATAGCCGGCCACCAGGGCCATTCCCCATTTGCCGAACAGCAGTTGTGCCCTTGCGTCCGCGTGGCAAGCGCGTTGAGCTGTGCTGGGAGTTCTGATCCAGCGCCAGGTCGGGCATTGCCCTACGCAGGAGGAATATTCAGACATGCCCGATCTAGTTCCAGCGCCGCGGAAACGCACATCGTCTCGCCGATGGCGCCGATGCTCCCCCCCGCCCCGCGGATGTCGGAGCTGATCCGGCGCAGCGGCGAGCGCAGCTCAAACCGATGCGCGCGCTGCCGAAGAGGAAATGTCACTGCGCCGACCTTGCAGACGTGCTGCAACGGATTTTAGCGTGGATTTCTGCCAATGCAAAACCGCGAAACGGCGAGTGAAAAACGACGTGGAATTCGCGTGGATTTGCTTTAGCCTTCACTCCTGGCCCAAACAAATCCTCACAAAATTCGCCTCGAAATCCGGGGCGAAAATCAAGAGAGTCAACCAAGATCGTGCAGTTGCTCTTGCCAAGTCGTGATGACGCAGCTGATGGCCGCGAGGTCCCGGCCGCGCGCCAGGCCCGCCTCCGCGCGGAGCAGCAAGGGCGGTCGAGAGATATCTGCCTCCGCGCGGAGCAGCAAGGGCGGTCGTTCCAGCGGGGGCGGACGTGGACGTATCCACGGTGTGATGGTACTGGATAAGGGAACCTTCGATATGGGACCTAGAGTCTGGAAGCCCGCGGAGAGCCCATCGTGGATTGGGCATGGATCTCGCCGCCACTCTCATCAGATAAGGAGCCCTTCAGGGTCTGAAGCCTCCTGGGCATGGATCCTTAACGAACGCCCCCACCGTATCCGGCAGGGCCGTCCGCGCCGAGGAGCGCGCGCAGGTTGTCGCCCGTCCGCGGGGGGAGCGGCGGCCACGCGGCGGCCGGTCGCCGACGCGCCGGCGCCCGCGGCAAGGCAGCGCTGCAAGATGAGCAGGCGGGGCGGTGTGGAAGGCGGACAATTCCTTAGCTTCAAGTCGTGCCTGCCCCTCTACGGGAGGAGTCTTCCAAATAGTTAAAACATAACATGGGGGCGCCTTTGGGCCATGTTTGACTGCGTCCCCTGGCGGGAAGTTTTTCCTCTTGGACTAAACATATGAGAATACCAATGGATCCAATTCGATCCCTGTTCGGGTGTGGGAGAATTTCGTGGATCCTATTTCTGTGCTGCGCGGATCCAATCTCCTGTGTGAAAGAACGATGGATCCATTTATTTCCCGGGAATAAATATATAATAATAATTAACATCCGGGGCCCAGGGGAAATTGGATCCGCGGAGCACCGCAAATGGAACATCATGCTATCCATGGAGCTGTGGATCTGCAGACCAATGTTATGATTCTACGGGGGAGGGGGGTCTTCTCAGGATGAAGAGGGGAAGGATGAGGGAAGAGGCAAGCGGAGGTGGGAGGAGAACAGAGGGGATCGGCGCGTCGCTTTCGACATATGGGGCTCAAGAGGAGAATCTCTCGGCCTGCGCAAGTGGGATTTCGAACTGCGTCTCCCCCGCCAACACTTTGTGCTAAGCCGCCAACTCTTTGTGCTAAACCCCCCATCCCCAAGCCGAAAGTTTTTCCCATTGGACTAAACATATGAGAACATCAATGGATCCAATTCGATCTTTTTTTCGGGTGTGGGAGTTTCGTGGATCCAATTTCTGTGCTGCGCGGATCCAATTTCCTGTGTGTGCAAGAACGATGGATCCATTTATTTCCCGGGAATAAACATATGTAATAATATTTAACATCCGGGACCCAGGGGAGATGGGATCCGTGGAGCACCGCAAATGAAGCATCATGCTATCCACGGAGCTGTGGATTTGCAGACCAATGCTATGATTCTACGGCAGAGGGGGGTCTTCCCAGGATGAAGAGGGGAAGGATGAGGAAAGAGGCCAGAAGAGG